GCAAACACAGGGGCGTTTGGCGATACGCTGAAAGAAGGATGCAACATAAATCTGTCGCTCAGTGCTCTTGGTACAGTGATTGACACCATTGTTAAAGGCAGAGGGCATGTGCCGTTTCGAAGCAGCCCACTCACGATGCTGTTAAAGGACTCCCTCGGTGGCTCCAGTAAGACGGTCATGTTTGCAAATATTGGCCCCAGTGAACACAACTTCTCTGAGACAGTTAGTACCCTGCGTTTTGCGGACCGTGCCAAGCAAATCAAGAATAAGCCCGTTGTGAACATGGATACAAAAGATCAGAAGATTGCTGAGTTAACAGAACTTCTTCATGAATTGCGAGAGAAGCTGAAGAGGTATGAAACGGAAGGCACGGGATCCCTCGAAAGGGAGGTGGAGGAGCTGCGTGAGAAAGTGGGCGAGATGGAAGTGAGCCTTGACAGTGCCGTGAGGGCTCGTGAGGCGGATGCCGTGGACTTTGAGAATGTCAAGGCAAAGTTGAACATGGAGCGGCAGGCCACCACCAGTAGAGTCATTGAACTCGAAGAGCTTATTGGGAAGCTGCAGAATGACATGCAGATTATGGAGTCCAGCGTGACGGATGAGCGTTTGCAGCGGGAGGAGGTCCTTCGCCTCTGCTCTCAGTACCTTTGCGGTGAGGAGGATGGAGGCAAGCCCATTGCGACTGCCAATGAGCTGGAGGCTGTGTTACAGGAGAACTCGCATGGAAAGCATAGTGTTGAGTTGGCGCGTCTGCAGAATAAAATACAAAAACTTGAGGTGGAGGCGCGGCAGATGCGGAAGGAGCACAAGACCGTAACAAGGGAATTGGAGGAGAAGCTCCAAGAGGCACTGGCATCGCTGAAGTCAGCGGAATCAAAGCTGCGCAAGGCAAATAGGGAGTCCAACGAGGCGGGGGATGTACGGAAAGGGACCTCACAACCGCCTGGTGGCAACGGGGCGAGCAGCGAAGAGGTGGCGGGACTGCGGGTGGCCCTTGAAAACGCTCAACAAGAGCTGCAGGAGAAGGGTATCGCGGCCAAGTTAGAGACAAAGCTCCAGGAAATGCAGAATAGCCACGAGAAGATAACCACGGCCTACCTGACTCAATTAAAGCAGGCGAAGGAGGCGCTTGGCGCCCCTGGTGCAGATGACTCACTCATTGTGCAACAACTTCGCGCCATTCTTGCAGAGGATGACAAGACCTACGACTTTGCACTCAACCACATGTCTAACATGCATAATGTGATGCACGGCTTGAAGTCTGCCATGCGAGAAGCACAGACGGTACCGCTTGCAGCAATCAGTGGTAACGCGGATGCTTCTCGGGAAACCATCAAAAAGATGGGGAACCTGGATGCTCATGAAGCTGTTATGTACGCTGGCATGCTGTCAAACTTACATGACGCCGTGGACAAGGCACAAACGCACCGCAATAGACTTCTTGATGCCATCGCTGCCTTGCCTGATACTCCTGTGAATTTTAAAGAGGAATTAAGTAAGTTGGTGAGTGAAAATGACGAGCTGCGTAAAATGTATAAAGATGCGATCAAGGTAACAGAGACAGCGCAGGCACGCGTGGTGGAGGAGCAACGTCGTACGGTGTCAGAGGAAAGTGTACAGGCACAGATTGATTCAGTGCGCAAAGAGTACGAAGCACGTGAACGGGAGCTATTGGCGGCCATGAAACTAGACGAGAATAGCGGGGATGGAAAGGCAGTGCTGGCGTTATTGAATAAAAATGCCTCTGGTGGGGGTGCTGTCAGTGAAGCAGCCCAGAAGGAAATTGAAAGTCTCCGCAGTGACTTGGAGGAGGAGCGCGTCAAGTGTGAAAAACTTGTGCAGTCCAAGGAGGCGCAGCAAGTGGAACTGAAGGCTCTACGTCAGGAAGTAGCGGAAAGTGAAAGCCGCTACGTGGATTTGGAGGGGAAAATGAATGAGATGGTGAGTGACTATGAGCGGCAGTTGGCAAATGCACATGGCAGCACGGAGAAGATAGCCGACCTGACGGCACGGTTGAAGGAACGCACAGACCAGCTCGATCAGATGCGCGGCCTTCTTGAGAAGCAAAAGGCGCTTATTGTGAAGAGCAACGAGAAGTGCGAGTACCTTCAGCAGAAGCTGCGGGAGGTCAACGCGAGAGCTGAGCGGACGGAGGAAATATACCGGCAGAAGCTCCAGGAGCGTGACGAGAACTTTCAGAGTGTGTTGAATCAGCGGCTTGAGGAGTACGCACGGGACCACCACGACGACGTCACGAAGCAGGAGGAGAAGTCCAAGAAGCTCCGAAAGAAGATTAAGAAGATAGAGAACGAGGTTGACCGCCTGAAGGAGGAATACGACTGCAAGGTCTGCGAGTGTGAGGACCTGCGCAACACCATCGAGGAGCAGAAGGTCGAGTTGATGCGGCTGCTGCGGCGCATGGGGCAGACGGAGGAGGAAGCGGAAGTGTACGAGAAGAAGGAGAAGATTCAAACTGCATTGGAGCGTGCAAAGGAGGAGCAGCGGCGCAAGAAGGACCTCTTTGCCCTCGGTGAGGTGGCCAACGTGCGGCGTGGCGAGTACTGAAACTTCCAGTAAGAGAGAAAAAGGAAAGAAGGAGAGGAAAAGGGGGAGTGGGGATGGAGGCCTCTTTCTTTTTTTTTTTTTTCTTTTTTCTTTTTCTTCTTCTTGAACACATATATATATATATATATATATATATATTTCTTTTTGTATCCCCCCACACACCCCGTAGATCCTTTGTTCTTTCTAGTTTGTTTTTGTTTTTGTTTTTTTTTGTTTTTGTTTTTTTCGACGGTATTGACAACCCACAACGTCATTTTGTTTTTCTTGTTTTTGTTTCTTGCCCGGATCCTTACGAATGACACATATGGGCGGATAGATGGATGTATACATGTATATTACATATATGTATGTATATGTATATATATGCGGTTTATTGCTACTCTTTTTTTTTTTTTTCTTTTGCTACAACGAGTATGCATATCCGTGTGTATATATATATGTATGTGTGTATATATACGCATGGGCACCTTTATATGAGCTCCGTGCATATGAAGCAAATTTTTTTGTCTTTTCTCTTGTATTTTGTGTGTGTGTGTGTGTGTGGTCTAAACTGGACAGCAGTTTTATGATTGGATTGTAGTCATGTCAGTAGTTGCGACAATTCATACGAAAGGAAAAAAAAAAAGAAAAAAGGAAGGAACAAAAAGGAAAAAGAAAAGGGAAGGATGGGAGGGGGTAATAAGGAAGAAGAAAAGAAAGTTTTGCAACACGTGCAATTATGGCATGACGAAACAAAAACTGAGGAAAGGGACGATCGAAAGCAAAGAGAAATATAAATGAAAGAAAGAGAGTATGTTTGTGTGTGTGTGTGTGTGAAAGAAAGAAATATAATCAGTTTTTTGTTTTTTTTCTGTTTTTTTGTTTCTGTTTTTGTGTTTCTGTTTCCTGTCGGTTTTAGTGTGTGCATGTATATGTATTGCTGAGGGTTCTTTGCCTCCTTTGTTCCTTTCGGTTTTTTTTTCTTTTTCTTTTTCTCAGCGCATGGAAGGTGTGGCCTCCCCCTTTTTATGCCTCAGTACCGGCTGCTGCTGCTGCTGCCTCTTTCTGCATGTGTTTGGCATTAATTTCCTTTTTTATTTCTCTCTCTCTCTCTCTCTCTCGTTTTTTTTTTCTGTTTATGTGTGCTGGTGGGCAAGAGTGACTCTTTGGTTTTTGCTTTTTTTTTTTTTTCAAGAATGTCCGTCAGCGGCGTGGGGTCCATCCCGGTGGCGCTTACTTATGATGACGTCCTGCTCGTTCCACAAAAAAGTCCTGTGCGTTCCCGCAAAGATGTCAGCACCACAACCCGCCTTTCGCGCAATATAAAGCTGCATATACCCATTGTGGCAAGCAACATGGACACGGTGTGTGAGCACCAGACGGCGATCGCAATGGCACGTGAGGGAGGCATTGGCATACTGCATCGCTTTTGCAGCATTCGGGAGCAGTGCGAGATGCTGTCAAAGGTGAAGCGTGCACAGTCATTCCTGATTGAGAATCCTCGTATGATCATGGCGCATCAAACGCAGGAGGAGGCTCTCCAGGGTCTGCAGTGGAAGGGACGGAAAGGCGGTGTCAGTTGTCTCATGGTCGTCGAGAACTTCTCCACAAGAAAACTGCTCGGTATCGTTTCAAAGAATGACTTGCACTTTGCGGATGCGAATGAGCCGGTGTCGAAGCTTATGACCCCGCTTGAGCGGCTGGTGGTGTCAACAAACACGGCCATCACGTTGGAGGAGGCGCGGGAAATGATGCGGGAACACCGCACATCCAATATTCCGATTCTTGGAAAGGACAATGCGCTTATTTACCTGGTAACCCTCTCCGACGTTTTGAAACTAACGGGGAAAAAGCACGCCTCGCTCGATGCCCGCGGCCGTCTTCTCGTCGGTGCAGCCGTAGGTGTAAAGAAGGAAGATATTACGCGCGCCGCAAAGCTGGTGGAAGCAGGTGCGGACGTGCTCGTGGTGGACATTGCCCACGGCCACAGCAGCATATGCATCGACATGATAAAAAAACTCAAGACGGATCCTAGGACAAATAAAGTTGACATCGTGGCGGGAAATATTGCGACAGGCGAGGCGGCGGCGGAGCTCATACTTGCTGGGGCCGATGGTTTGAAGATTGGCGTGGGACCTGGCAGTATTTGCACCACCCGTCTTGTCGCGGGCTCCGGTGTGCCGCAGCTCAGTGCCGTGATGGAATGCACGCGTGTGGCACGTAAACACGGCGTTCCATGCATTGCGGACGGTGGGATAAAGATGGCGGGTGATATCTGCAAAGCCATCGCCGCGGGGGCCGACAGCGTCATGGTTGGGAATATTCTTGCCGGCACAGAAGAAGCCCCTGGCCGCGTGCTGGTGAAGGATGGAAAAAAAGTAAAAGTCATCCGCGGCATGGCGGGGTTTGGTGCCAATCTCAGCAAGGCAGAGCGCGAGCAATCGCTGGATGAGGATGTCTTTGCCGAGATGGTGCCAGAAGGGGTGGAGGGCAGTGTGCCCTGCAAGGGTCCGCTGGCCCCCATCGTGCGGCAGCTCGTTGGTGGTCTCCGATCGGGCATGTCGTACTGTGGCGCAACGTGCATCAACGAGATGCAACAGAATGCCCGCTTTGTTCGTATGACCGGATCCGGTCTGCGGGAGAGTGGCAGTCACAGCATATCAAAGCTGTGAAGGGGGTAAATTCCAAATTTCCATCTAGCTAAAGTGAAAAAAAGAAGTGCATCCATACGTTTATATATATATATATATTATAAAGATATAAAAGATATATCCTGTGATAATCCATATTTTTTTTTTTATATCTTTGTTTGTTTGTTTTTTTGTTTTTGTCCTTCTCTAAAAACAATTGTGTGTGTGTGTGGCACGAATTGGCTTCATCAATCACTTGGATGACTGCAGCAAAAGGCGCAATCACTCCACGCTGCCAAAAACAACCCCACTCCGCCTGCATGGCTCACACACACACACACAAACGAAAAAAAAAAATGAGGCAAAGAGAAATTTATTGTAAACAGAAGTGGACGAAACATGAAAGGGGGGAGGAAAAGAAAAAGAAATAGTGAAGTGAAAACTTTAGCGAATATTAAAACAAAACTGAATGGTGGAACAGCAACAGCGGCGCCGGTATCCGCAATCTTGAGAAAGTTAAGAAATTTGTCGTGATAGAGGCAAAGGAAGAGGGGCAGATATTTGCTGTGTGCAACTTACATACGGTCAGCCCCTTTTTGTGTGTGTTGGGGGGGGGGGTTTATTTTATCGGTTTATAATTTTCTCCGCTGTTTTTTGTTGTTTTCGTTTCTGTTTATCCGTTTGTCTTCATGGGATTATGACGTGATGGGAACAGAGAGTAGAAGAGAAGCAACACACTCCATTTTCATTCCAGCGTGGGGGCGATGAGGTCCGTGTTCGAGATTGCCAGGAGCCACATTACGCTTCCCGTGTCAAGGGACATGAACGCTCTCAGACGGGTACTTCGCGACTGGCACCACTACACGGAGAAATTAGAGCTGCAGAAAAAGACCACACACCCCGCGGCATTGTGTGTGACGGTGCATCCATCACGCAACTCCACAGCGTCCCCGCCGCAGGGTGTTTCTCTTCACCCTTCACTGCGGGTCGCGGCAGGAGGTGCATACACGCGACGTGTTTCTCTGCAGCTTTGGACGGCGGTTCTCCCCTGGGAGGTGCAGCGTGGACTCTCAATGAGTGAATTGCGGCTCTCCAGCACCCTGATGGATGCCTCTGATAGTAAACAGGAGGCTAAAAAGGAAAATGAGAATTGTCGATACGCGAGGGAAATGCAGGAGGAGGAAGACGATCCATTCGGGGTGGTTACTGCACCATCGAAAAGTGCGAATGGTGCAATGCGTACTCCTCCGTGTGGCACCAGTGCCGCGGCTGTCACGGCCCCTTTCCCGGGGATGTTGTTTGTCATGGACGTTGATTCCGCCGCGCAGGGCGTGAGTTTTTGGAGCGGAGCCATCGCACAGCCCATTGACGTGGCGTTCATTTCTCCTATCGAACCCGCAGTGACAAACTCGCGGTCGTTTCAGGAATTACGGCAACGCCAACTGGCGGCAGTGGAGGATGGTGGTGGTGGTGGAGGGGGCGGAGTGGATGAGAAGAGAGCCGTGCACAACATTGCCCGCTTCTTCCCCGATGGCGAGTTGGATTCCCCGACGGTTACATTCGCCTTGCAGTCCTACTCCCACCTGGACCCGTTTCCGCGGTGCGATAAAACAGGCGGAACAAGACGGCGGCAACACTTAGCGCAGCCAGCAGGTGCAGATCGACGCGATGCTACCTTTGCCGCTGGTGGTGATGATCATAATAATCGCCCACGCTACGTACTGGAAACGACGCGGTATTTAATTCGTGACAGCGTCGAGAGAGCCCTGCAAGAGTGCCGCCAGCAACGCGCCACTACAGCCGGGGCGTTGGGGGGCAAAAATAAAAGCGTTCATGAGGGGAATGAAGAGGGCATGGAAGTGACCATCACGTTGGAGCTTTCAGACGGCCTAAAGGAGGAGTTGCGAGAAAAAGCCCGTCTGTACACGAATTACGTAATGCCGCTGGAAGAACACATCGCCTACCACATCCGACACCAAAACAGCAGTGTCGTGGGGGACGGAAATAATGACGATGTTCCACGGTGGGAAATGGGAGCTGAGGGAAAAACAGGAGACGATCATGCTCTCGTCTCTAAATTTGCAGCCGCTTCACCTTCTTTTTGTTCTCCTGCCACCCCTGTGGGAGTGACGAGGGGTCCAATTCATCCCTCACGGCCCAACACAACGGGCAGGCGTTCCGTGATGTTACTTCGCTCTCCGAAACTTGCAGAGGAGCATGAGGACGTGCCGTCGCATCTTGTGCCGTCTGTGAAGGGTCGACATGAGGCCCCTGTTCTTCAACAAGTAGAAAGGGAGCATGGTCAGCTTATCAGCGCCAAGGCACTTGCACGTTACCCCAATACTTCTTCTCACATGCCCGCTATTCCGCCCATTGACTATGAACTGTTCGACCTCTGTCTACGCCTGGGTTTGTGCCGGCAGGACACCATTTATTACTTCTACGGGCGCATCATGCGAGCGTGGCAAAAAGAACTGCACCGGCTGAGGAAAAGTTGTGATGAACAGAACAACAGTGAGATCCCTGATGCGGATGTACGCCGTATGTTTCTACTTGTTCGTGACCCCTCGTTGCAGGTACCGGAGGAGCTTTCCGCCTGCGTGGAAGCTGTCGCACGGCGCCGCAACATCGCGGAAAAAGCCTGATTCCCCGTGTGATGAGAAGGAAAAAAAAAGAAGGAGAATGCACTTCCGCGTGGTACGACTGTGAAGACGCTCGCTTCTAATGCATACATTTTTTTTCTTTGCACGAGCAAATCACATTGATATTCAAACACATTAACACACGTGTCCAGAACAACCAATCGAGATGAATCCATCCATTTTTATTATTTTTTTTTTTTGGCTCTCTGTGAAACATGGTGCGGTGCGATGTCTTTGGTGTTCCCTGGTGCGCCTGTCACTCATGCTCTTAAATCCCATATACCTTTCTTCCCTTTGCCGCTTATTAATGAATCATTTGAAGTTTTTCCATGGCACTGTGTTCGCCTCTTTTCTTTTTTTTCTTCTTTTGTAATGTTCTTGCTTGGTTTTTTGTTTGTGTGCCCGTGTCTGTATGTTTGTGTGTGTGTGTGTGTACCCCCGTCTTTCATTGCCTCACATGAAATGCGTACTATAGGCAGAAGAAAGAGGGAATAAGGAAGAGTCGGGTGATGTCACGGATACGTTTCAAGGGCGGTGCATGGACAAACAGTGAGGATGAGGTGCTTCGGGCCTCATTGACAGTGTACGGTTTGCAGAACTGGGAGCGTGTGGCTTCCATGTTGGTGCGTAAGACAGCGGCGCAGTGCCGTGAGCGCTGGGAGAATTACCTTGACCCCCGGCTGCACATACGCGAGGCATGGACAGCAGAGGAAGAGGAACAGCTTGTGCAGCTGCAGTCTCTGTTCACAAATCAGTGGAACCTCATCGCACGTGAGCTGCGCCATCGTACTGGAATGAACCGGCCCGCGTGGCTCTGCGAGGAGCACTACCACACACTCCTTGACGCCCTCGAGTACGAGCGACAGCAGAAGGAGGGCGGCAACAACAAGAGGAATGAGTCACTGACTTTGGAGGACTTTTTGGCGGAACGCAGGCGACATCGCGCCTACCATCAGGGCCATGAGACAAGAGCGTCTAAGGCAGATGCTGTCAACTCGGATGTTTTTGAAAAGGAGATGGTGGAGTTCGCTGTGAGTCGTCTGGCCAATCAGGATGGCAAGAAAGGCCTACGCAAGGAACGCAAAAAGCAGTTGCAACACACAAGTTTTCTTGCAAAACTGCAGAGTAATCGCGAGGCCATCGAATCTGGCACCCTGTCAGCGAAGGCAAAGAAACGCATGGAACGCGCCATGTTGGAGGAACGCGCAGGGCCCAGCGACACGCGGCTTCAGGACGAAATCCTTGAGGACGACGATGTTGGCAGCAGCGGAGGCAGCGATGTGGGAAATGACGAGTCAAAGCGCGGCCAAAAAGGCGTGTTTCGCCCCATAGACCTCGGAGCAGACAAACAGGAGGCTGGGATTCAGGCAAAACATCGTGAGCTCGTGAAGAACCTCTCGGCGGACATGACGCGCCTCCAACAAGAGGCTACGGTTTCTGAGGGTATCAACGTGGAACTGTTGCGACTGGCAAGCGGCACGTCTGGCTCTGCGAATCGTCAAGTGGAAGACAAGAAGAAGACGCCGCCAATTACCAGCAAGAGCAGTGCTGCGCCAGGTGCTTCTCCTGACACTGCGGATCTTGACCATCTCTTTGCATCGCTGCCCGAAGCCATATTGCCCGAACAAGAGTCTGTGGTGGGGGCGCGTGCATCTGTCGATGAATTGTTTGGCACACTGCCGGAACCCTTGCTTGGTGGACGTGTGTCAAAAGACAAGTTCAACGTGGCGGTTGCCACTCCTGAGGATTATGAAGCGGAGGAAGAGGAGGAGGCTGAAGTTTCCTACACCGTCTCCCCAAGTGAGCCCTCGCAGGCGCCGTTGACGGCACTGAACTTCTCCACGGAAGAAGGGAGATCGTGGCTCCGCGAGGCAAAGAGACGCGTGTTGGTGGAGTCTGAAAGCGTCTTTCTTAACCGCAAGCGCGTTCGCCACCACATGTCGTCTCCCACAGAGAAGACGCAATTGATGATGACGACGAAGAATGGGGAAGAGGAAAAGGGACAACTGGAGGGGGAAAGGAAGGAGAAGGAAGAAAAAAATGATGATAATGATGAAAGTACATGGTGCATCGTGCGTGCTCTTGTGGAGCAGCAGCTGCCCGCCACGGCGAGGGATCTTCTTGAAGCCAAGGCGGTGCCAGATGGGTTTTTGGCGAAGAAGGCAAAGCGAGAGGAGGACAGTAGTGCTCGTTACAACAACACGCAGGAATACGTGAAGGAAAAGGGAGGAAACGAAGAAGAAAAGGATACAACCATTGAACTGGCGGCGTGTGTCGCTGCGGTGCAAGACGAGGATGGTGCGGACTTTTGGAAGGATGTTGGCGCCACGGAGGCAACTGTGCAGCTGGAAGAACTCGTGCATCACCAGCGCGAGCAGGTGGCGGCTAACACCGCGAATGATACCGAAGCCTACCAGCATCTGGAACGCATGGTGCGCATTTGTTTTGCTGGCAGCCGGAAGGAACTGCGTGGCGAGGACATCATAAATCGCGTCTGTGTGTACTGGGGGTGGCGGCTGGAAGAGGCACAACGTCGGTTGGCATTTTACAGTGCCATTCGTGAGGTTGAGCGCCAGGAGATGCAACGGCGAATTAATGATGCCACATCCCGTTTAACGGAAATTGAGCAGAAGGAAAGAACATTGCAGGAACGTTATCGTTCCATGCGACTCGCAGAATAAACAATTTTACTCTTCCTTTTGGTATTATTCACCGCCTCCTTTCTTAAGGGCCATCATCCATTTTATATTCTTCTCTTTACTCTTTTTTTTTTTGTGTGTGTGTGTATGTGTGTGATGATCTTGTTGTTGTTGTTTTTTTACATGTATTTTTTTTCCCCATCGCCATGAATATGTATGTATACATATATGCATATATATAATTGCTATACATATATGTAGGGGATGCTCCGCTGGGTGGTGAAGGAGGTTGAGAGCCCGTATGGGAACGTCGCCACTGTGCACTGGGCGGTGGATGATGGTGATGATGACAATGTGGAAGCGGCCACGGATGCGTTTGATGCATCATTGCAGCAACAGCTGGAAAACGCCGAGGATCAGCTTGGGGCAGTGCTGTGGAACAGTAACGCCGTCGCCCTGCGTTATCTGCACGAGCACGTGCTCCGTGACGAGGCCAGTGCTTACCGCGTGGTTGAGCTCGGTGCTGGCGTTGGTTGCCTTGGCATTGCGCTGGCGATGGCAGGGGCGCGCGTCGTTATCACGGACCTGAAGGAACTCCTGCCGCTGATGCAAAAGAATATTGAGATGAATGCGGCGAGGATACGGTTAAGGAGCAACGGGCAGGGTTCATGCACGGCACTGGCGCTGCGATGGGGCCCACCACCGCGTTTAAAGAAGCGAATGAAGAAGCAACAAGAAGACGAGATATCCCTTGGGTCGAAGCCGAAGGAGACATGGCCGTATGCTGGACCGTCTCCATCGTTTCTGGCGCTACAGCAGGAGTTGGACCGCGTCGACATGGTAGTGCTGTGCGATGCTCTCTACGGCAACGCGAGGGACTGGCCGCAACTGCTCTATACATTGTCGGAGATCCTCGCAGCAAATCCATCCTGTGAGGTAATCAACTTCTGCGAGCAGCGTGTGAAGAATGTGGAGGGGGATTTTTTGCGCCTGTTGCAGCAGGAAAACAGCAAGAGCGTGGCTTCTGATGCAGAGGACGGGAAAGAAAATGAAGAAGAAAGTTTGGAATCGGCATTAACGCGTATGCGCGGGGCATACGAGTGGTGGAGCGCAACGGAAGTTGTAAGGGAAGGAACGAGCGATTTGGGCATGACCGTCTGCGCCACACGTATCCGTTGGGTGCCGCGGAGGAAAAGGCAAGAGCTCGTTTCTTCCGTTTCGGCGTCTTCATCTTCATTGACAGCCGTTGTTGGTGCCTCCGAATGTGACGAAGGGCTGCGTGGAAAACGAAGGAGAACGAAATTGTGAGTCCCGTGGTGTTTTGTTGTTGTTGTTGTTTTTGCTTGTGGAGTAAGAGAGAAAGAGAGAGAAGGGTGCTTGTGTGTGCGTACTGTGCAGGAGTGCGTTGATTCTTTGTCCTTCTGCCCCCATGCATTTCTTTGCTCTCGCAGATCACCCCATTGGCATAGAAGGAAATAGAGGAGACATCATAGAAGGAGTCAGGTGCACTGGAGGACCCGGTGCGAATCCACAGGGGAGGGAGGGAGAGGAAGCGGGGAAACACCCAAGAAAGGGGGGTGTAGCGACCTGAGAGGAGCGTTACAAAGCTGGCAACAACAACAACAGCAGCATTAACGAAGAGAAAAAGAAGAAGGATCGATTTGGTCGGATGACAGAGATGTGCTTCTCCCCCTGCTCCATATTTCCCGGTGAAGTGGAGGACTACTACTGCACCAGCTGCCATACAACCTGCAGCGGTTTGTCGCTGCTTGTTGGTCCACACACAGGCCACAACCGTGTTCCGTTGATCGATGCTGCCACGTACCTTCCAGCGGCTCTGCAACGCGATGCGAATGCGCTTGTCATGCGAATTCAGGAAGAGTACATTCGGCCAAAAACGACACACTGCAACACCCTCCATGCCACGTTGGCACACATGCAGCAAGAGAGGCAAAAAAAGCGAAGAGAACTTGAAGAGCTTCAGCGTGAGTTGGGGACGCTTGATGAGAAGATCGATAATCTTACGGAGGAGTGCGCCATGGCTCTTTGTCATTGGTCCCATCAGCGCGATGGCTTCCTGAGTCAGGTGCGGCGACTGCTGCGGGGCGCAGATGCCCTCGCAAGGACTCTCGGTATACGAGAAAACCAACCAATTGGCTCTGAACGCTGCGTGGATGTCGACATTGCGGCACCAACCAACTTCCCTCCTCCCTTCGCGCTGCGGGCGGTGAGGAAAGAACTGCATGAAGTAAGAAGACTGCTGACACAACCGCTTGAGTGGTTGGAGCAGGAGGACGAGGAAGACAAGGAAGAAAGGAGTGAAGGAGGGAAAGAACTTCGGCTGAGCCGTTCTGTGAGGAACGGTGCGGATGCCGTCGTCAGTCATAGAAGCAAAAAGGAAGATTACGGGCAACTCAGCGGCACAAGTAGGACGCCCCGCCACGTCAATGACCATACATTGGTATCATCTGACGCCGAGGCTGTGTTGCAACAGCTCCTCGCGGCACACATGAAACGGCAAGGAGAGCCGCACACACAAAAATCGCCATCCGCTCGGGCTTACGTTGCCGAAGTTGAGGGGACGAGTAGCTGCAATTCACACAAAGATGTGCAGGTAACGGCGGAACGACGGCGTTGGAAGAACGAATACAAGCGGAGGGAGAGACTTCTGCATGAGGGGCTCAATGTTTATATGCGCGAAGGCTTTTTTCCGGGGCGAACAACAACGAAAATTGCAGGGGGTGTTGAGACCGACGTCAATGACATGAGCAGCAGTGACAGCGTCAAGGAAGCCGTGGCTCATCTGCTACGCAACTCTCAAAATGATATTTTCATTAACACGACCCCGCACCAACAGCGTCGACCTCCCTCCTGCGCACTGGCGTCTGAGGAGGACTAGACGTGGTCAGCCATCATGCGATGTCACCATTGGTTTGCGGTACTTCTGAATCTGCATGGAAATGGAGACGGCGGGGTACCTGAGAGGGAAGAAAAAAAATGTGTTAAAGAGAAGAGCTGGCACCAATGAAAACTGATGGGTATCGTGTGTGTTGTGCGAATGTTTCTTTACCCGCCTTTTTTTTCTCCATTGAGGAAAGAAGGGAAGGTTTTGTCTATTTTTTGTTTTCCTCTCTCTCTCTCTCCTTTTGTTTCCATCATTTGCTCTTGTGCACTTTAGGCCTCTGATTAAACGACACACCACCCGTGAATGAAAGGCAGTCAATAACAGAATAGAAGGGAAGGAATATTCACCACAGAATCGTCTCAGCAGCATACATGATGTGTGCATGCATAGATACGCGCAGCGTGCTTCCGCCGCCACCACCACTGCCATGATGAGTCACAAGCTTAGGACACCTTTGGACGCGGAGAACCGCACATGAAAACTCAATGCCTTATCGATTCGTACACTGACCTATTTCTCCCCCACATACATACATACCCCTCTTTCTCTTCATCAGCCCAATGGCTTTTTGGATATCCTTGTATTCACTCATTTTCCTCTGTTTATTGCTATGCAACTGAGGATGATACATGTCATCCGTAAAGGGGTGGGTCCTGGGGCACTGAAACCTATCCGATTTATTCGTGGGTATTATTATTTTCTTTTTTTCTTTCTTTATGTGTGTGTATTGCAACGTGTGATGGGGTCGTTGTGTAAATTTCTTTTTATTGATTCCGTGCTCTTTTGCTTTTTTCTCTCCCTAAATGTGTGTGTGTGTGTGTGTGTGTGTGTGTCCGCAGCTCAGGAGAGAAGGGTGGGCGATAAGGGATAGACTTTGACGGCATCACATACATCATTGTTTTACATTACACCCCTGTTTCTCCGGCGCAACGATGTTGCGGGACACACCGGTTTGTAGATTTGGGACATTATCCACCGCCCTAGCCAACATCGCTCTCTTCACCGCAAATAGCATCGGTGTATGCGATCCGTTTAGCGTGTTGGTTGTTGGTGGGACTGTTTTTCGAATGTTGCTGCTTCCGGCAACGATTTATGGCGACTGCTGCCTTGCCCGCGTGGCCTGCGCGCTGCCCGAACTGCAGAGTGCTCACCAGGATTACAAGACGATCATCGACCACCCCCGTGCAATCCTGTGGGAAAAGAAGGTTGCCGCACAAAAGCTTAAAAATGATCGTGAGCGTATTTTCCGTAACCATCATACAGACAACGTGCGTCTGGTGCTCCTTCATCTCGTTGCTATGGCGGGGTCGTGGTACAGTTTGTGCATCCCGGCACAACAGCTGAGTGAGTTTGTTGGGACCAGTGCGGTGACTTCGCCCATGATCGTTTGTGCGTTTGGTGTCACGATGGATCCAACGATTGGAGTTGCGGCCACGTTGACGCTTTTAAATACTCGCGATCACTTGCGGCGCCGCATGGGTTTTAATGACGGACTCGATGGGTGGATACGGCAGATAAAACGGCACATGACTCTCACCTGGAGCGCCTTCGTAGCAGTTTCACTGCTCGGTCAATGTTTTGCTGGACCTGTCTTCTTATCGTACCTTTTTCCATTTCAACTTGCACCGGTGTGGCTGGGCATTAGCATGATGAGTAGCTGCAAGATTATTCTTGTGAACCACACGGCGCCGATGCGAGCGCTGTTTGGTATCCAGGACTATCCACTGACGCACGGCATGCACGGAGCATTGACCACGGCAGAGGCACATGAATACAGACTAGAGTTTACGGGTGTGGACGCGGAGGAGCGGCGGGATATGTGGCAAACCCAAAAGAAGGCATTGGATTATGAGTGCAATGTACGACTCCACCGAATGCTAAAGCAAATTGGTCTCTTTGATAGTGTTGAAGAAGCCGATCACGAGGCTGAAAATTTGCGGAGAAAGTTGGATGTGGTCAGAGACCGACAAAAGAAGCGCAAGCAGGAACAAGAGCGCAATGACGCGGAATTGTCTTCCTCGATGGCCTTCTGTGAAGCTGATATTGTGGGACCTTCTGCCGAGTCTGTGGCAGAGCGTCACTTTGACGAGATTCAGGCACAGAACAACGCGCGACGGCAGAGGGGCAGAGGCCTGTGAAAATCCCGAAGGATACATACCACACACACTCCCTTGCGTATATAATATATACGTAGCAATGGGAAATGACGTATTGTTATGCTTCTGCTTTTTGTTGTTATTGTTTATCTTTCTATTTTACAACTTCCCGTTCGCTTTTCCTCTTTTTCTCTCTCTCTCTCTGTTTCTGTGTGCATGTATATGGTGAACAGGAGCGGGGGGTGATGGGGAATGCATTTTTCCGCTGGGAAGCCTGTGAAGCGGACGCGGCGGTGGACACCCTCACATTCCTTGCGGAGGACCCAAATGCGCCTCGGTTTCGTCTCAAGCATGCGGCTGTTGGTACGGCACTGGATTCACATTCAACCGGTTTTTGTTTTTACTCTCGATATGTCTTCTTGGAGGTATTCACGGCGCTCCAGGTCCTTCTGGCCTTCTTCACCCTGTACTTATTTAACTACATGGGAACCATACGCCATTACTACGCCCCTCGAACTGTTTTAAAGGAAGAAGAAGGTTTTTTTTTTCCTCCAAAGGAAAAAGAAGTGCTTGTTCCGCACAAACGCGAAGCTTTGGCCGCTGTTTATTTGGCCGTTGTCGTCATTGGCTTATGTTTTATATTGCTTGTTGCTGCGTACATTTTATTGACAAATAGTGGTTGGTGGGCGTCGCTGGAGACGAAACGGTGGGAACACGACAAACAGGCCGCCGTCTCTTCTCAGCCGAGCCATGGCGAATTACAGCACCGTGTCAGGAGTAGTGGATATCATCTTCGCCGCCTCGGTATTCGATGGATCTCGTGGACACGGCCGTACTACGCCTTCCCACGTCGATACCTTCCGGACTTTGACTATCGACACGAACTTCATGCGAAATTTGGTGCTCCTTCCACCCGAGGTGATCCAAAGAAGATGTATTTTGTTTTCCTGTCGCCATTTGTGTTTATGCTTACAGTCATGGACATCATGACGGTCGACGAAATGCGGGTTACCGAGATGCGGGTGTCGCTTCTACAAGGATTGTTACTTGCGTGTGGCCCTTTGTTTTTGTTTTATGTGGCTTCGATTTTATTTATGAGTATGATGATGAGCCAGAGGAGTTGCTTTGGGGACACAATGGGTGTATTGTATGCGTGAAATGTGTTATCCAATTACACCTTTCGCTTTCTCTTTCTTTTTTTTCTTTTTTCTTTTTTCTTGTATATATATATATACATATATATATGTGCGTGGGCGTAATTGGCGGGTTGTTGCCGCCTCGACAGGTGTTCTAACACCGCCTTGTACTATTCAAAAAAAAAAAAAAAAGAGAGAGAGAGAATCACAAACTGTACTGTACAATTATTCAACTCTGCCTGGTTTTTCGAATTGCCTCCGCCTGTCTGTTTGCATGTGTATTCCTTAGCGTGTGGAGGAGTTGTTGTTTTCCTTTTTTATTTTATTTTTCTCTCTCCCTCTCCTGCCGCTGCTGTTATTTGTTGTATTCCCCTTTACCTTTATGTCTTTGACTTTTCTTCTTATTCTTTGCAGCGCCTATTCACTTCAGTATGAGTGAAATAGCCCAGGTGGGGAATCTGTCGGGCCTGAATGCTACCACTCGCTCTCTAAGCAGGCTCACAGAAAGTAAAGAAGGGGAATGGAGCGAGTTGGATCAGGCAGAACTCGAACGATTTTTCATCGAGACACAACAGAGTTCCGCCACCCCAGAGTCATTATGTTTTATGTCAATTCTCGGTGGTGTGCAGATAACGACGCCGCACAACGAAACGCCGATATTTGGTGCCACAGAAATGAATAAGACATCATGCAGTTCCACACAGCCCAACTCCACCGTCGCATGCAGCTTGCCACCCGTGTGGTATGGGTTGCCAAGGAGTACTCCCAACACTTCATTTAGACTGGAGCCGTTGCCAGAAGTGGCTATGGATTCCCTGCAGGAGAAGAAAGGAGAGAAAAGGAGATGGGTCGATCCTCTCTCGTCTTCCACTTTGAGAGATTCACTCCGGGGAATGCAACCGGTATCTTTACAGAATGAGACAAAAGGATCACAAACGGAGGCGTGGAAATCCAATCCGGTGCAACCGTTGGAAAGTCGTTTGCAGAGCCGCCAACGCTGTAATCTTTGGACGTGTGGACGCAACAAACTGCCCGTTTCCCCATTGGAAGCCCTGGCGCGATGTGGGTGTCATCTCAGTGCGCACGAGAAGGAGGAAGTCTTGGGGTTTCAACACGTGTACTACTGTGGGGCACACGCCAAGTGCGCGGCGCTGGCTTCTATGCCTCCCAGCGGACTGAAGCCAGCGAAGAACGAGCCTTCTCCTCTGTCCTTTGATGATCACGATCATAACTATCGCATCATCCCTGGAGACCATGTGGGATACCGCTTTGAGTGTATGGAAGTTCTTGGCCGTGGCACGTACGGGATTGTGGTGCGAGCCCTTGATTATGCAGCCCGGCCCATACCAAAACAATGTGCACTGAAAATAGCAAAAAATCTTCCCCGTTACGCCGAAACATTGAGGAGGGAAGCCGACATATTGGATTTTCTGTGGCACAACAAACCAGAGGTGAGGAGGTGGATCCCGCAGGTGTTGACACGTCTGACATTCCGTTCACATGAAATCCTCGCGATTCCTTTATTTGGACTGGACATCAAGGATCTGCTCCGGGTAAATCTTTTCCGTCCGATGCCAATGGCACTCACGCGGGCTATGACAGCTCAAATGGTGGTTATGCTGGAGCTTCTCTCAGATGCCAACGTCACTCACGCGGATCTAAAGCCAGAGAACATTGCGCTTTTTGATCGAAGCTTGTCCGATGTAGCCTTTCCACCTGACATTCAGCGACAAATTTCTCTGGAGGAGCAAGAAAGGGATGGTACTAAACTGGATGATGATGGTGATGATCGGGAGCACGACAGCCCTTTGTTTCTAGATTCAATCAACAGTTTGTCTTCATTGCATACGAGAGGGGTACCTGGCATGGCAGCTTCTGAGGAAATAGAAAATGATGGGGAAGATGACGTGGTCACATCACACATAGCAATACTTGACTTTGGTGCAGCCCACGTGGGGAAATCATGCATCTATCCTGTGCAGAGTACTTTTTATCGCGCCCCGGAGGTGGCACTGCAGCTTCCCTACGGCCCCGCTATTGATATGTGGTCACTTGGCTGTGTCGTTTACGAGCTTGCCACGGGCGTTCCTCTGTTTGTTGCGGAATCCGACAAAGAACTTCTTCAGCGACACATTACAGTGCTCGGTATGCCCCCACCGGAGGTGCTTCAGAGGCTTCACGAAATGCGCACTTCGTCTGGCGACGTGGAGGAGAAAAAGGGGGAGGAAGAAGAAGGGAAAATGCGGGACCTTTTCGCATCTCTACAAGTTGAACGAACACCGAATACCGAACGCCCTTCCGCGCAGTTCCTTAATCTCCTGCAGCTTCTTCACATTCAAGAGAGGGAAGAGGCAATCATATCTAATAAACAAACGCAGCAAATGCGACAGCAAAAGAAACATACCGACACGCATCTTGCCAAGGAAGCATACCCCTTAGTAATGGCGACGTCCCCTTCAAGCTACGATGGAGATGATGACGACGACGCCGGAGAGACAGTATCGACACTGTTGCTTCTTGATTTTCTTCTTGGATGCCTGATGTGGGACCCGGAAGAACGCTTGACACCTGACGAAGCCAAATGTCATCCGTACCTTGTACCGTGCCTCAAGGAAGACTTTATGCAATGTGACGAGAAGGCACCACTGGTGAGAACGCGCAGTACCGGAATGTACTACTTGCACACGCACGCTCTCACACGTGGTGAGGTGAGAATTTTGGAAGCTGCGGAAAGTGAGTACGCCCAACGCCGAGCTAAAGGAAAGGTAGTGACGAATGGGATGCATCCATTGATGCGTTTGAACGTACGCCATGCCATTCAACCCCTTCGCCGCTTTACTTCGCAGCGGTTTGGTGATGATACGTCCGAGACGCCACTACGTGTCTCTTGCAGATCCATTCGACCAGTGAGAATTGCGGTGGGGGACTCCCTGCAACCGTATACAACAAAATTCTTTGATCCGATCGAACAGGTTGAAGTGTCTATCATGTATTTTGATGAAATTTGAAGCAGTCGTCCGAATGGAAAGAGAAAAAAAAAAAAAAAAGGGCGTGTCTTGAGCAATGCCAGTGGCGTAAAAATGAAACCCGAAATCAAAAGCCAAAAGAAAAAGAAAAAAAATTGATTATTTTTGATTGAATGTAAAAATAAAAATATTTTTGGTATAAAAATGAAAAAACAAAATTATTTGAAAGCAACAAAACCCCCTTTAAGAGCTATTTTATTCCGAACTGTGTTTGCTTATTTCTTTTTGGGGGGGAAGAGGGGGGAAGGTGTGGCATGTGAGAAGGAAGGAAACATAATCGCACACATGCACGCACACACCCTCCTTTCCTCCCTCTCGCTTTTGTTTTTTATTTCTCTATTTTTCTCTTTCTCTCCGATCCTTTTTTTGGGGGGAAGGGAGGGAGGGAAATCCTTTTTTGTTGTTTTTGCTTCATTCCCACGTGTGTGTGTGTGTGTGTGTGTCTGTGTGTTTGTGTGTGTATGGAAGTAGGTAAGCCCCCCCTTTCATTGCTAATATTATTATTATTACTATTACTAGTAGTATTAGTAGTAGCATTTACGCTTTTCTCGCTTTTTGCAGCGCCATCTGTTTGTTTGTTTGTTTTGCGCGTTGCGCAGGAAAAAAGAAAAGAAAAAAAGTGGGGGAGTGGGTGCTTCTGCCAAATGTGAAGAGCCAACCGGCCGTATAAAATTTTCCACTAATTACATTAAATAAACGAAAACTTTTATTTTGAATGAGTGTTTGTTGTAAAATGTGTTTTTCCTCCGCTCCCGCTCCCTTTTTTGTAGTTGTTGTTTGTTTTTGGTTTTCTCTCTCTCTCTCTCTCTCTCTCTCTCTCTCTCCGTGTGGGTGTGTCCTTGTTATTTACGTTAGAAGGACTCCACCACCCCCATCACTGCCACGACTGGACAAACAACGTGCAGGAGGAGGGGGGAAGGTTTGGAATGGAACGTGATTTCATCTTCCCCGCATCATTTGCCGGTATAAGTGATCAACAGGGCGTCATTTCGGTACTCCAGCGCCACGATGCGGTCAGGGTCCGTGCTGCCCATCGTATCCCTTCCTTTTCCGTCGCAGTGGAAGTGGTATATCAGTTTCTTCGCTCACTGCCGCCGCCGCTGCGGTGGTCCATTCGTGAGGTCCGAGTGGTGGCCGCGCCCTCCGCGTCGAACTTCACCGTGGAACTCACGAGCGAGTGTCAACGGCACGCTGAGCTGGACGTTGCCAAATTGATCTCCTGCCATGGCGAAGAGGCAGAGCGGATGTCAGATCTCACGGCTGTCAGTCAAGAAGTAAGGCTAACTTGTGCCGTGGAATCGTCAATGCAAAGGACACGCGGTATTCAGGACACGGCCCACTCCACAGAAGGCATGGGAATACTCTTTGAGGGGCATTGGAAAGGCAAAGAGATAAACAAAGGCGAAGACCATTGGAATGGCATTCCTGCGGTGTTAACAACAAAACTACAGGCATATCTACGTTTGTTGGCAAAGAAGCAAAAAGAGCATCAACCCTCTTCGTTATTTTTTCACCTGCGCTGCGAAGTTCGTAATCTCTTCTACTGTATGCCTGTACGACAGCGTTGTGCAGCAGGATGGAGCTACACATCATATCGACTTCGCGCTGAAAGGCAGGCCCTTCTCTTAACTGCGTATCGCATGGCCGTAGAATGTGTTTTTGCTCCTTTGTATCTTTCCCTCAACGAAGGCGCGGGAAGCAGTGCCTCGTTTTATTTGCATCTGAGTAACAGCGGTGATGGTCGAAATAAAGCTGCCTATGATAACGCTGATGTCTTCTATGTACATAATTACCCGGTGCAAAGGAGTAAAGAAATGGTGGAGCAGTTAAAAAAGCGGCGGCGAATGGAACCGGAAAGCAAAAATGATGATGGCGATCGTTCATGCACACTTCGCACTGCGCACCGTATCCTTTTCTCGTTTTTTCCACATCTCCGCCTTTGCGGGGAATCGTTGGAATGCTCCAATGGAATTGCATCGTCGCGTCTTCGCGAAG